TCTTGAATTCACTTCCATTACTTTTGTAAATTAATTGACTTTTAAGGTAAAATTACTAACTGTGAAAATACTTGACTTGCTTCCTAGAGAGTTGCGCTTGTTATTAAGTGAACTGGCTGTTGTAGTAGGTAGACGATGCCTTGCTTGCTGGGCTATTAAATTAGTTGTCCTCGCCGTAGTCAGTACGTGCTTTAATCTTCTGGATGTGCGCATGGAATGTTGGGCAGTTTGCTGCGTACGCTGCATGGTGTGTATCCACTTTAACTTTTGAATCTCTGTTTGCTATGATGCAGTTAATGCATTCAGGGCAGTCCGCCTTACATTCGTTAATGTCATGACAGCCTCCGCAGTAAGCGCAGTAAGGCCTGTGCCAACAGTCTTTCGACGTATGTTCCAGGTCCTGACAGCGGAAACAGCGCTTGGCTCCTGTAAACTCGTAGATACTATGTTCCCTCCATCCTTGGAACAATCTTCGTTTGGACATGAGGACATGAAAGGCACCAGGGGTACATTCAATCACCCACTTTGTGGCTCTATTCCTTCTGTCCGGGCGCTTGAAGAGGACTCTACACTCTTCATTCCCAAGATTGCAAGACTTTTGTAGCATTTCTTGTACTTCCACCTCCGAGGTGCCGTACGGTACATTGTCGATTGTGCATTTCGGTGTTCTCTTCCGTGGTATACGCGTGCGTACTGTATCCTTTAGGTTATCGTGCTGAGCTAGGAACTGACTTATCTTCTGTACTTCATCCTTGTTGTTGCAGCATCGCACCGCCACACCTCCACTACTTAAGTTCGTAATGCCCCGAAGGTTGACACACAGATCTTCAATTTGGACATGCTTTTCTAGTACCCCGCGTATATTCCGCACTCTGTTCATCACGTTTAGGGAGGATCAGCAGTGTCGGCATGTTCGTGACTTTCCTTTTCCATCTCCGCTTTACCGCTTGCGCGTACGTAGGTTGGCCATCTTTGCCCTCTATAACCGGGTGCTCATCCTGCTGTATAGTATCTTTGCTTGCATGGAGCTGCTTCACCTGTCTTTTTGCATTTTGCTGAATCGAGTGAGCAAGTTCACAACAAAGAATCGTCGACGTGTTTACTCCTATGTCTGCTAGGGTTGGACTCTCTGCAAGGTGTGGGCCTCTCAAGGCTAGCGTTTCCAGAGCGTCCAGAGCACATAGCAGTCGCTCACGAAGATCTTGAGGTAGGAGGAATTTGCCCCTTCTATGAGTGCTGGCTGTCTTTCTTATAAATTCGTAGAGCAGGTGAACTTTGCCTTGATGGTCTTGGTCACTGTCGAGTATCTCTTGCGGATCGAAATCCGACCTTTGCATCTGACGCTCTCCTTCCGACTGTGCAGATGAATTACGTGTCATTCTTGAATCACCGATACACGTTGAGCACTTTTCACTTAATAACACATTTATATCACTTTCACGTTAACACTTGTATCCCCTTAATCACTTTAAATCAGTGTTGATGGAATTCACCACGTAATATCACTTTCACGTAAACACTTTGGATCACTTTTAAATACGTTAAAACACTTTAAATCACACTATAAATCACCGTTGACAGAACGTAAAATTTTAAATCACTTTTCGCGTAAATCACTTAACACTTGAAAATACTACGTACATAACTTTCACGTTAATTTGACAATAACACACTTTTCCACTTTAAGAACACTACATAAATGCCTTGTATATTATTAGAAAGTTCTGGAATTATTGCTGGGTTGGATGTAACAGGTACATTTTAATACATAAATATTGAGTGCTATAATCAATAGTGACCAGCAAGTAAATTGAAGACACGTTAACACTTTGGATCACTTTTAATCACGTTAAATAACACTATAAATCACCGTTGACGGAATGTAAACACTTTAAATCACTTTTTGCGTAAATCACTTAACACTTGAAAATACGTACATGGAATAACTTAATAACACGTAAATAATAATGCAATATCGAAACTTAATAACACTTTCACGTTAACACTTTAAATCACTTTTCACTGTGCCACGTACATAACTTTCACTTTAATTTGACACAAAAATATACTTCCACTTTAAGAACACCACATAAATGTCATGTATATTATTAGGAGATACTGGTAATATTGCTGGGTTGAATGTAACAGGTACATTTTAATACATAAATTTCAGTGCTATAATCTATAGTGACGAGCACGCAAATTGCAGACACGTTAACACTTTGGATCACTTTTAATCACGTTAAATCACTTTAAATCACACTATAAATCACCGTTGACGGAACGTAAACACCTTAAATCACTTTTCGCGTAAATCACTTAACACTTGAAAACACTTTCACCATGCAATATCAACACTTGATAACACTTCCACGTTAACACTTTAAATCACTTTTCACCTGTACCACGTACATAACTTTCACGTTAATTTGACCCAAAAACACACTTCCACTTTAAGAACACCGCAAAAATGCCTTGTATATTATTAGGAAATACTGGTATTATTGCTGGGTTGAATGTAACAGGTACATTTTATTACATAAATGTTGAGTGCTATAATCAATAGTGACTAGCAAGCAAATTGCAGAGAAATGCGCTTGGCTGCGATACTTCTTCTGTGCATCAGCTGTACACTATAGGTAGTTCTGCGGAGTAATCCAATTGATAAAGACAGGCACAGAATTAATTAAAAAGCACACACACACTGCATTAATCACTATTGTAGAAGACGATAATCCTAAGTCCTGGTAATGCCGGAAAAACAGTAACTTTTGAAGTAGCAGACCGATCTTCTTCAAATTTACAATCTCATACAGCCCATGGCTTGAAACAGAAGAATCCGTTTGAACAAAATCGCTAGGCCAATTAGGGGCTTAATTAGCGATTCGTTTAATTGCCTCCAGTACCTCTTTCTCCCTTTGTTGACAACAGGAAATCACTCGGGTTAACAGGCGACGGGGGGTCGAATGCTTCTAACTGACCGTAGGGACGGGGAAAAGGTCAAAGTTCACGGTGAAAAAAACTTGTAAAAGCAATTAAAAATCAATTACTCGGCATCCATTGACCGCACACATACATAATTACTGTCAAATTGCTCAGCGTAAAATACCGCATCCGACGATTCTAAACACCAGTGACATCGGGCAACGGCGGCTGCTATGCGAATCTGGAAGCACAGTTCGATATGAATTACCACGTGCACGACGCGTTGAGGCAGTAATTAGTCTCTTAGTAATTACTGGATGATCCGATCTTGACGAACTTGGTGTCTAATTAAAGCTGAACGTCTTGGCTATACATAGCAATTAAAATTAAGACAATCCGCTGAATATTTCCGCTTCTAATGAGGAAAATGCCGGAGCTCATAGAAACAACCTACACATGCGAATGACATAAAAACATGACCAACTAGATATGCAAATGAACATGATTCAACAAGGCTGTAGAGATATAGGTATATTTTTTTGGAAGCAGGCAAGATGAAAAATGAGCAATCACCTTCGCCGGGAATCGAATTACGGACTTCTGGAGTACCAGCCTAGCGTGCAGAACCACTACACCACGAAGGCACGCTAGGAAGGCGGGAGAAATACCTTATAAGGCATAAGGTAGTTCTGTGATGCTGTATTATAAAATTATTGTATGTATACGTTGCTTTAATATTTACACAGTTCTACACATGATTACTATCTGTAAATTTACGGGCTACACTGATATTTTAATAAATGTAGACGAGAATGACAAAACTCCGGCATCCAGGTGGTTGTTGTTCACTCACCGGACTAGTTTTAGTTAGTGAAGTAGTCAAGTATGGGAAAGAACCGGCACGCGGCTATCGTGGGGGTCCCCTGCTGGTGTAGCTTTCTTAACAATTAGTAAGGCTCTGTGATAATTAATGTACCTTCCGGAATGCACAGATGCCGGCCTTGCTTGAACCTGTACCTATACCTGGGTCTCTCCTTCCGTCCTGATCACTCTAATGATTAGTGACACTGGCTCTCGCTTTCCTGGGCCTGGTTCGGGTCTCATAGAAGACTTAGATGTTTGTGAATGTATAGTATATCTGCGACATAGGCACATTTAAAATATTGATTAGCTGAAAAGCCTCTGTAGTGGAATGGTTGCCCCCTCTCGTAAGTTTGAGGTGAAACTGCTGTATAATTATTGCTGTAGAAGTATACCTTTGAAATCATTAGTGAAGCTCTGATGTTCCGCCCAACTTGTTCCTGTTCTTCGCCTTCCCGCTTCTCGAGGGTACAAAGTCCCTCTACTCCTCTGCAGTACACCCTAGGCAATGTTCTCGATGGTGAGATGGATAGAACTTATTGGTCCTTCACTATTCCTTACAGTACGATCAAACGTATATTTAAGACCATTGAATAGCAGCTGAAAGCTACTTATTTATTTTCTCTCAGTGTTTGTTCTTTTCATATATGTGTGTGTGTGTGTGAGCGCGTATTACTTAAATTAATGTATAGTTAAAGGACGTAAATAAATAATAGAGCGTTAGTAGGGAATAATTCAATTAAATCCATCTAATAAGGAAACGCTATTAATTCTCTGCACCCAAGTGCAGATATGCGATACCTTAAAAAATCTTTCCAATTAATTATGCTTCTGTTCCTCTATTTATCAAAGAATTAAAAGGCTTGACAAAGATATTTAATACATAGATTTAAACGCGCCGTTATTCCCCAACAAGTGCTTACGAGTAATCTTTAACGAATTATCGCTATACATATTGGAATTCAATGTGCAAGATCGGATATTCAGCCATGCGTGACTTAACACTTGAGAATCAGTGCCAGCCAGCGAAGCATTATTCCTGAAGCAAAAATCGATGGAGAGTTTGAAATAGAATCTGTACTCGAATTTATTTCACAACCTTCAATGATCGCGCCAGAATATCCCGCTGGGTAAACACTTCATTTATCATCCCCTTTTCAGTGTCGAAGTATCCATGTTTTCGAGTTCTGAAACATATCGCTCTTTTCTTTCAGATCAATATTCCCACTTGGTCTTCCGGAAGAATTCTCATTCGTCGCCACTTTCAGGAAAAAGAATGGCCGGAAAGATCCTTGGTTTCTGATCCGGATTAACGACATTTTAGGAAAGCCACAGTTTGGAATTACTCTTAATCCTCGGAAGCAAATGCTGGAATTTTATGCTCTGGACTTCGAAGGCAAACTGCAAACATCCAGGTTTGGAGACGTTGAGGTACATAAAAATTTGCCACCTGTGCATTCATTCAAGTTTTTCTTTAGCTAAAGTAAAAGGTCTTATAATCATAAAAATGGGAATAATAAACTATTAAAAATGTACAACACTATTAAAATATAACAAGAATAATGTTTTAATAATGCTCACTGGGGCATATTGAGGCATTTTTCTTGTTAATTAAATCAATTACATATTGAATCAAAAGGATCTCTAAACAAATGGTTACAAAGGTTTATAGCAAAAAACGTAATTGTTATATGCAGGGTTTAATAAGACTGATGACCACAGCTTTAAGAAGTAATGGTACATGGCAAAAATAACAGTTTCCCTAGTACAGTATGTGGTAGATTGTCAATGATAAACCCGCAAATACAGTTATATAGTTCTTTTCATTTAGTTAATTACTTGGGCCGAGATTGGCATATGAGGTATTATCCTCTCTATGTAAGTAACTAACTCAAAAGCGTATGAAGGTTTAAACGAACTTATAGAGTTTCTTGTGCTTTGGGTGCAGAAATAATTTCTAAATTCTTAACAGACCTAGAGCGGATTATCGCTGTTTTTAAGACAACGACAGAAACCTGAAAAGGTTTAAAATAATATTTTTACTTAACAGAAGTTATACCATAAATGCACGTCTTGTGCATCACAAAATCAACCATCACTACTGGCGATTGAAGTAAAGCAACAGTAAATTCAAATTTAAAACGTGGACTAGTAATCCAAGACAATCTTCATTAAAAAAATTGAATTCCAAGTATGTTGCAACTGATGAAAACCAAGAAAACTTCCACTGTTTATTACTTTCTCCTGGGAGTAATTAATCAATTATATTTAAATCTAAGCTGGCTCAAGAAGCTTTAACCGGCGTATCAATTTAAATGTTGACAGCAAATACCGGAAAGCCGAATGATTACAACAATCAAATCTAGTAATACTAAGTACAGTGGCCTCGAGAGGCAGAAACAAGCTCTATGTTAGAATCCAGAAATCTCAGCTTTCATACTCTTTAAATCTTTTCATATTCTGGTGAAGAAACGGAAAAGCGAAGTTGTAGTGAAGGCTGAAATTATACCGCCAGACTTTTATTTTACCGTAAATGCTATACACAATATCAGTTAGGGAACAAAGATCCTCGTTTCCGTCCAGATGTTCAGAAAGAAATGCTCCCTATCTTTGTTATAAAGTTTGACCTTCGAAAAATAAACTGTTAAAATTTTTTTAAACTGTTTTAACTGTTAAAAAACTGATTTTAACTGTTAAAAAATATACATTCACTACACTCTTTTAAATTTCAGTTAAATGAAATAGCTAAATAGTGATTAATTAAATTAAATAAGTACAGTTAAAATTTGCGACACAACACAATTCATAAAGTGGTCTTGCCGAGCAATCGAATGTTGACTTTACGGGAGTCTAACTGTAGTTGGACAATATTTAATGGAAATTATGGAAACCAAAATGACTTACTTTTCACATCTGCGTTCCTAAAAATTCTGTCACTTAAGTTTTAATTTTATTTTACATTATATTTATTTGTTTCGGCAAACTACTTGACGACATTTGGAACGACTGGAGTATATATTTCACAGAAAACTTCATTAAAAAGATTGAATTCCAAGCATGTTGTAACTAATGAAAACCAAGAAAAATTCCACTGTTTATTACTTTTTCCTGGGAGTAATTAAGCATGTAAACAGGTTCAGAGAAGCTAAAAAAAGTATGCCAGTTAATAAAAGCCTTTTTGAATATTTCCGAAAACACTTCAATTATCCAGTTTAGTAAGGTATTTTTAAACCATCTTTAAGCTTGAAAGACATACAGAAAAAATATGCTTACCAATTTCGCATCTAAGATTTATTTTAAGTTCTATCTGTTGAATTCAATTTATTTATCAAACGTATATGCAGCTGTGCAATTCGCAACATGCCTTTCAATTTATATAACGCTTAACATTTGAGCCGAAAAAAGCAGCAACATTTCAGAACAAATGATAATTACTAGAATGAAACGTCTTGCATATTGGAATTTATTACCAGAAATTTTTAAAAAACTTAAGGAGGACACGTACAGTAGCCAATATTTTTCTGTTAAAGTTTAATATATGTTTGTAGTAGTCTTATAAACTTAAAAGCTTATTATTTGGAAAATGAAAATTAATAAAATAATATATAAAACTTTACAGTATGAATAAAAGAAAAGCTTTACCTCTTAAACTATAAAGGATTTCTATAAAACTATAAAGGATTTCCTATTTGTTACTCAAATCTCTATAAACAGATATTGTTTGAGACCAAAATCTTTATAATAGCTTACAAAAAAAAAAAAAAAAAAAAACAAATTGAGTTTATTATGAATTTCACTCATGTTACAAAGATGAACAGAAAACAGAAGCACTGGAGATTGGTGACTAATTGATTCAACGGTTAAAAATAAAAACTTAAAACATTTATGAAAAATGTTTGTATATATGATTATCGGTATAAATCTTCAACATAAAAGAGAACAGTTTGAAATCTTGATTAAAACATTTAGTAAGAAAACATTAGTTAAACAGAAGTTGCACAGCAAAAAATCGTATTCACTTTAGGTCTTTTATTTTTATTCTTTCAGCAATTGAATGCACTTTTCACGCGTGCAGCGAAGAGGTTATATGCAACAGGAAGAAAGAAGGCCCTCGCTATAAATGCTCTGCTTCAATTTAATAGTGGTATTTTATTCCGAGTACTTTATAGAGTTTAGTCTTCTTTGCCAGCATAAACTAAATCCAGAATCCTAGTAGACTTGAAGAGAATTATCGCTTCATCTTAAATGGACTACAAAGTCTTCAAGTGTTAAAAGACATATTCTTTGTTTTAATGAAAACTGAAACATATACAAATCAACCACTTGTGGCTATGTAACTTAAAGTAACAGCAAATTCAATATTGAAAACTAAGTCTGATAACCAAATGCTATGTACACATTAACGCCAAATGCTATATACACATTAATGATAAAATTCACATTAACGCAAACCTGGTTCAAACTTCTCACTGGTGTAAGAATTTAAAATGTCAACAAGCATAAAGCAAAGCGGAATAATACGATTGTATCTAAGTTAGCGAAACACAGTGCTTTATCTTCTCGACCTGAGAGGCATGAATACGCTCCGTCTTACAGTACGAAAATTTTACCTTATATACTCTCGAACTAGTTTGCGCTCTAGTACAGTTGTTCAGAGAAATAAAATAAACTTTGTATGATAACTATTCAAATTCGTAGATAGCTTTCCCAAGCTCAAGAATATGATAAATAAAATTTCAATGGAATGTTCTACAAACAGAAAATTCTAATTATTTAAAAATTTGGTTACTGATAATGAAACGGATAAATATTTAAAATAATATCAACTTTTAAAGATTCAAATCTTGCATTCGAAATTCCTTCAGTTGCTTAGAAAATCAAGGTCCGAGAATTAGAGAGAATTTTAATTTTTACGACACTCAGCTAGTTTAAATCCATACATTGTACTAAAACAGAAATAAAGGAAAGGCTCAGCTGTTAAGCCTAAACTTAGATTTCTCTAAGAAAATCCTGGAAAAACAATCGAAAATTATCCTTCCTCTTTTCACGTAGCAGTAATGTTTAGAGATTGAAAGGGATTACTCATAATGTATATTTTCTACTTACAATTGATGGTTGAATCTGAGAGGTACTGTTGACTAATATTGAAAGACATTATACACTGAAGTGTCAAACTGAACAATTTGATCTTTTCACTATTCTGATCTCTGCATTCTAATAATAAAATAATTAACTTTTTGTTGCTCAAACAATATCGAAGATTTTCCATTAATCAAATGTAAATCTTTCGAATATCTTTCACTCTCCAAGCAAAGTATAATCAGGGAAACAGTTAGTATAATAAGCAGAACTTATCTTTTAAAAATTAACGGTAATTTTATTTCTAAATTAGAACACTGCAAAAGATTTTTTTAAAGAAATAACGATATTAAAAAGTGACGATAATTATAAAAATGGAAAGTTACGCAGTAATCACAGCATAAGTCTGAAATGAATTTATGAACTACTTAGTACGATGAAATAATATATATAGATAAACACTGTTCTTTATTCAGAGTAGAAAACATGTATTCATGCACCTCCCGTAAAAATATAAAATCGATTTCAGAATTTACAGCTAAAAATAGAAAAGAAAATAAAATTCTGAAATTTTGTTTTTCACTTGAAAGTTTGTAAAAAATTCACATCTTTTGTCTAGCTCTTTAAAAAATACCTCGATTATTAAGCATTAATAAATGTTAGCTAATTATGAAAAGTGATAATTTGAAAATGATATTTAAATGAAATACTAAACTAATTTCATTAATACAAATCTGAATGCGAGAAACATTTTTATGGTAATTATACTATTCTAGGATATGTTAATATCGGTTAAAGATCATGTAGGTTATTTCATTATTTATTTAATAAAGACTATTTGAGTAGAGCACCCAAGGCGTGTCAAATGTCAATTAATATATTTCTAGCATATAAGTAACTCAAAACACAGTTTGAAATTAATACTGATTTGATGATAGCGAAGACTAAAAAAGACACAATTGTATCCTTGTAAATTATACTTAGCTGGCAATCTCTAGGAATTTCACTTGCTGTTCGGATTCCTCATAACCTTCTATACAGTTAATTTAAATATATTACAATATGTATAAATTTCTATAATATCCTTCAAGAAAGTTATGGCATTCACGTCTAAAGCCCTATGGCTTTTTCTTACATCCATTAAGCAATAAGATACGGCGAGTTATTTTAATTCATATTTTCTAATAGATTAGATATCTTGATTTTTGCATTCAGAATGTTTAGATTTATTTAAGTGTTTAAAATAACTTGGATAATTTTGAATGATATATTATTTGAATTATAGAAGATATTATTTAATTTATTGATATATCAGTTGAATTATTTGAATTTTGAATCGTACATTATTATTTATATATTAATAGAATGATATTTAGTTTAGATATGATCTCATATTCTTTAAG